CCCCCCCCCCCCCCTTCTACCTACCCGTAAACCTCCACCTACCCCTCTCCTCCTTGCCCCTTCTTCTCTCCCGCTAAGCCCTGACCCGCGCACCTCATCGAGCGGCGTAGTCTTCGCGCTGTTTTCTCGAGCAATCCCCAGCTGCGGTCCGTTTTCCTCCCCCGTCCGTTCCTCTCTCCCGCTGGCGTGCCCGAGCCAACGCACCCCGTCAAGAGGCGTGGTCTTGGCGCTGTTCTCTCGAGAGACCTCCGCCTCGTCCGAGGAGGCCAAAGCCTCCCGCTCCCGGCTCAAGAAGGCGGAGCTCTCGCCGCAGTCTTCCTGGCTGAAGGCGAAGTCGGCCGCCATCCTCGGCCACACCGGGGACAAGGGGTCGAAGCTCGCTGACACGCCCACGCGCCGCCGGAACGAAGCAACAACACGAGAAACCAGACACATACAGGCAAGAGAAACTTGTCCGTAATAAAATTCGGCTCGAATGTTGTTGTTGTTGTTGTTGTTGTTGTTCGTTGTTGTTATTGTTTTCTTCACGTTAAACTCGTGTCAGATGCCAATCCCAAAATTTAGCAAAGACTCGGTCCGTGGTCACAAATATGGCACAAAAAAATGGGACAGCTCGTGTACAGCAGTGGGGGCCACGCAGCCAAGAAAAAGGCCGGGAATAAACTACGGCTCGAACGTTCCATGAAAAAGTGGGGCAGCTCATGTACAATAGGGGCCACGCAGCTAAGCATGTACAGCGCAGCGAAGGAAAGTGCAGGTAGGAGAATCGTCTCGAATGTTCCACGGAAAAAATAGGACACAGCTGGTGGGGGCTAAGAACCACAGCCGAGAATCCTACGCCAAACTCTGCTTGAAGCATACAAATAGCCTGCATTGCACGGTGGCGACGAAGCAAGAAACTCGGCCCTGAATCGAAAATTGAGGCCTGTTCCATACCTCCGCCCCCCCCCCTGCGACCCTATGGCAAAACGAGCGAGTGGGGCCGGTGTGCGGCCTCAATAGAGACAACCGCACCATCACCCAACCCCCGTCGCTCAGAACTATCGGCTTGAGTTGGGAAAGGAACACACTCGGTCTCAAGACCACCAACACCAAGTTCAACGCAGACGAAAACTTCTTCCATTCTGCAGGAAGAGCTCCCCCCCCCCATCTCGTCTCAACAGGCTTTCCCCCCCGCGTTCTTCACTTACCCGGAGCGCCACCTTCTGCCGCCTCCGCCCCCCTCTCGCCCGCCCCCGCGCTACCGGCGGAGGTTTCGCTGAAGACGAAGCTGTCCTTCCGCCGCGAGGGGGGGCGGCTCTCCACACTCTCGCCGCCGCCGCCCTCGGTCGCGTCCCCGCACCCCGCAGATTCTCCTCCTCCTCCTCGGCCGTCGTCGTCGTACCCACCGTCGAAAAATTCTCGACGGCTGCGGTTGCTGCTGCTGCTGCGCACGTTACCCCAGTCGCCGTCGTCGCCGCCACCGCTGTCGGCCACCGTCGACGCCGCCGCCTCCACTCCCGCCTTCGTTGTCCTCGTCCCGTGAGCGATGTCCAGCGGCCTACCAGCATCATCGCCTCGTCCAACGGCGGCGGCGGGGGCGGCGGGTTCACCACCTCTCTCACCTTGTTCCTCTTGACAGGCCACCGCGTCGTACTTCTCTCCCTCCTCGCCGCCGCCGCCGCCGCAGCCGCCCCCGCCGCCGCCGCCCCCGACCCCGTCGCCACCGGTGCTGCTGCTGAATGACTCGCTTCTCCACGCCTCCGGCTGGTTCCCGTTGAGCGCGAACCCGCCGTTCTCTAGCAGGGCCGCAGCATCCTCGAGGTCCCGTTCGTAGAGATCCCCCTCCCCGTAACCGTCATCACCATCTCCGGCTCGTTCGCTTGCTCTGCTTCCCCCCACCCCATCGGTAACCTCGTCCCGCCGCCGCTGTCCGGTACGCCGCTCCTCGTCCCAGAGCCGACCAGCGCTACTGCTGTCTGACGCTGCTCTCCCCTGGCACGAGTCTCCCTCCCCCTGGCCAGGGAAGCTGCTGCCAACCGCAAGCAATCTGTCCCTGCTCGGCCGGCCCTCGTCTGAGCTAGCTCTCCTTGGACGCGGTCGGTCCTCTTCCTCCTCCCAACCAAATTCGTCGTCCATGCTGCTTCGGCCGGCCCAAGACCTTCTTCTACTCTCGCCTAACCCAACGCCCGCTTCGACCCCGCCGCCGCCGCCCCTGCTGCCGCCGTAGTCGCTGCTTTCGTGGCTAGGGGCGCACCCGCCGGATACAGCGGCGGCGGTGTCTTCTTCTTCGTCCGCTTCGAGAAGCTCCTTCGTCGGGGCGTCGACGCCACCGCCGGGGCCGTTATCAGCGGCGTGGATAGCAACCTCCATCGCTCTCGGGAGAGGCTGGTCGAAGCCAGAGAAGTGCGGTTCGAAAATCACCCCGCGATGTTGAGAGTATAGTCACGCGTGGAGAATGGGAAGGGAAAGGCAAGGCCAAGAGAGAGGATAAGTTGTCGAGGGTTTCAACACCTTGTTACGGGTACGGGAGCGTGACCAATGTAACCTGCGGTTAACAAGAGCAGTCAAGGTAGGTCAGCGAACGTCGACAGCCCTTGAGCGTATTCGCCACCACCCACAAAGGGGTCCAGCACATGGTGGGTGCTGACGAGCCGAGAAACCACAGCATCGTACCGTAGAAAGAAAAGAAAAAACCGATGTGTTCTTGCCTGTCGTACGTGCAAGGATGAGAGTCCGCATCGACTGCTTTACAACCACCATGTGATACGATACCACGACCCCCGACATCACCAATAACCACACGCATGCTGCACGGCAATGAACAACGCTCCAGAAGCAGCGCAGCGCCTGCGATAGAAAAGCTGAGCTCCCAGCAAGTACAAGGTGTATATACTGAAGCAGCACCACACGAGACAACAAAATGAATGCCCTACCTACCGAAAACCATCGCTTGCGAACACGTTCTCCGGCCATGTTGACTAGCTCACTTTTGACTAGCTCACTGCAACAAGGTGAGGTAAGTATTGTGCGTCCCTTTGATGCACCTCATGGATTGGACACCTACAATCCGGTTTGGTAACACACCAGTTTGCTAACATCAACGTCCCGGGGGAAAAAACAGTTCTACACATCCGCTGGACAGTGACCGCCGTCGTTTCGTGTACGTAGGTTTAAGGGCACATCCCCGAACACCCCCTCCCAAAGGCAGAACAAACGTTAACCAAGAACAAAGCACCATCCATGCTCTCAGCGATCAAACCAGGTGAATCATGCACAGAACAACCGGGCAGCAGCAGCAGCAGCAGCAGCAGCAGCAGCAGCAGCAGCACCTGCTTGTGTTTCTGCGAATATGGCGGAGGCATGGGATGCTTACAGTACTGGGTTTGTCACCTGCCCGTGGTGTAACTCTTGCTCAGACACGGCCATGACCATGTAACCCGGGTCAAGGTCGTCCACCCACTCGTCCTCCGCGTGTCCGCCGCCGACCCCGACCTCGAACCTCCCCATGCCCAAGAACGAAGCCACCCTCCTTCCTTCTTCCTCCTCCGCTTGCCCCCCCGCCCCACCACCCCCTC